TGGAAAATTACATTTAAGATGAAGAGGAAGGGGATGGGAAGCAGCTTAGCTGGCTTTCTTCTAATAGCTGTAATCAGCCGAAGTGCAACCATGAGCCCCGTTTTGCCGGGTGCCGCACAGCCGTGTCGCTGCGGGGGCTGCTGGCAGCCGCTCTCCCCACCGCGCTTTCGCTTCCTCTCCCATGGCAGCTTGTACTTTGTTCCTGCTTGGAACAAGTGCCCTGTTTGGCTTTATTGTACAGAAGACCATATTTGCATAAACAGGGGAAAGGTTGGTCAGAAGGTGAAGATGAGGCATCTTGAAGGGGAACTGGTGGTTTAAATACCCCAAACTCGGCATCTCTGACAAGCTACCGAATCTGAAAGGAGGAGAAAAAGCAGGAGTGTGATTTTAACCCTTTTTTTCCTCTTCTGATAGTGTTTGCAGAGACTGCTGCTACCCACAGCGAGCAGGACCTGTGCCGAGAGGAGGAGGGGATCTCTGCAAAGTAAGCTGAGCTTTTTAAAGTCTTTCTTCTCCTTCTTATTTTGTTTTCCGAGAGCGGTGGAGGTGGTGACCCCACACCGGGGAGACAAGGGCTCCCACCACCCACACGTTTCCTGTGCTTTCTCTTAGCTGCAACCTTCTCTGGTTACGGGTCACCAACGGGAATGATGGTGATTTTCTGTGTTTAATTTCTTCCCTGTTGTAGTGACATAGCAAAAAGGCAGCAAGCGCTCTCGGGTGGGCTTCCATACAGCTCTGCTCTCATGTTCAAGGTTTATCTCTTGCTCAAAGTGTTTATCTATGAACAAACCCTGCAGAGATCAAAGATCTTTCTATGAAACATTAATTAAATGAATAACTGTGTGTTGTTGAGGCTTGAAGAAGGAAATGAGGTTTAGCTTTGTTAAAGAGGTGCCTGTTGGAAATATTTAGAGTATTTCTCAAATTTCAGTTATTCTTATTTTCCCTGGGGGAAGAGGGCAAACCTGGCTGTTGCTTCAGAGGTTCCATAAACTGTTTTTCTTGGTCATGTGTAATGTGGGGGGTTTGATACGATCCAGCGTGATGGTGTCGGTGGGGGAGCGGATGTGACTGCGGCAATTTGGTTCCTGCTTCACGGCATAACGTACCACATACTGTCGTGAGTCTTGCAGGAAGCAGAAATAAATCTGCCTGTCCTGGCACGGAGAAACGTCGTGGTGATG